TTTTCGAGAAATACACTCATTTGCAAATCAATTTGGGCGAAACCGGTCGTGGGCGGTCGAAGAGTTTTCAGCAACCTTGTGAGTAGTTTCCTTTATGAAAATATACTGCGATATCTCGAATATCGTGCCAACTGAATCATGAGGCGGCCTGTGTACTGCACACTCAGCTGGAGGACATCATAAACAAGAGATTCAATTGAGTCTCCGATGAAAACCAAATTGATTTGCAAATGAGTGTATTTCTCGAAGTCCAAGGACTCTTTTCGTTTGAATTATGCGCATGGGTACACATCGACAGCCGATGTTTTACTTACCTTTAAATCCAATATGATCGAATGCGCCTGTCCAGAGGAGCCGAGGTAGCCAGACTGTGGCATACCACCCATTCCGCCCTGCGCGACAAGAAGCCTTTGGCCAGGGCTGTCCAAATCACCTAGGTTTTTTGGTGTGAAACTACCTCTTTCGTTTGTTGGTTGTGCATTCCCCTGACCCGCCAAGAGGACGGAAATTCCCGGTGGAACGGGAATCGTCAAGTCAGGAGCGTCCCGCCCGAATAACCCACCACGCCGTTTGCTGGCCTCCAGTCCGTGTGCCGCCTGTGTGAAAACGACGGGGAAGGAGTTCAATAGGAGAATTAAGAAACCGAATGATCTATTTAGGTATTTCTATGGTAAATGGAAATGAATCAGTGTCAGATCTAACCGTGATTAGGCCAAGTTATGCGTATTCATTATTATGAAACAGCGCCATCATTAAGAAACGTATACCGCTGTTCAATAGTGAGTCTTTTGTGAACTAGTGATGTCAAAAAGGTGCAATTGTGCAGTACATTCCATACCAAAAAAGCTCGTCAAAGGTTTCAAGGGAGATTTACAACTCTGATTTGCTAATGGCAATAATAATAATAATTAATAAATCTAACCCACGAGGTAACAGAGGTTTGGGTTTTCTTTGAGGGAATCCTGTCGGCGCCAATGACTCAATAGTCCAACCCAGTTAGGTGTGGACGACTTGCCTAGCCCGAAAGCGGAAAGAGTAAGGTATGACTGTCTGTTCACAACATGTCCCAATTCAAGCCTAGGCGGGGGAAGTCGAGAGACAGAGGTCGGGTTCGAACCACGGACCTTCCGGTCAGTAAATTCGCGCTCGGACCACTTGGTCCATCTCGCCCCCTGTGATTTGCTACTGTGTCATCTAACTGTAGCATTCGATTGGACGTGACATTGAAACAAGATACAATGTGAAACAGAATGTAGACGCTCGTAATGTTGAGCGCGAGAATCCTATGCAATAATCCTTCGAGTAACGGTATTGACGAGTCCCGAGTAGCTACACCTGTGGCCAAGAAACGTTCCCTCAGTAAATTAGTTGAATACGATTTCCGACAGAGTTATGCTTGTAGTAGGGGTTACTCAAGTTTTTTCTACTTTGTGTTGAGCTCCATGTGCATGGTGCGAACTTCCGTGGCTTTACAATGAGGGCTGTTGAGTACTTACGCGAAAACGTCACAGACCTTATTTCCAGTCTTAATGGTCTAGCAACTCAACCGATAAAAATAGGCCATTTTGGCTGTATCGGTAGGAACGTGCGAAGCTGGTTAGTAGAAAGTTAGGTTGAGAAAAACCTGAAAGTGAAGGTCAGAACAGCAAGAAAGTGAACCACCAGATTGGAGCCGCACCGCTGCACTGAAATTACCCAGTGACTGTGGTTCGCAGAATGTCACCAATAAGACCGGATAGTGGATGAACCAAATTGCGGTCCGGAACCGACATTTTTACGCTCTAGATAGTTTCTGACGAGGGCTTATCTGGTCAGTTTCTTCAAATCTACTTCTTCCAGCATTCGCGACCTTCACGTTTTCTGAATTTCGGCAATCGACCTTTCTGATAGGCCTCGTCGAAGTCGACTACATCTGAGCACGATCCAATGCGACGTAGCAGAGACTGGCGATAGAGTGTTTGATTTGTGATCGCGGTTTGATTGAATTCTCACTCTGACTGGTACGGTTTGTTGTTGCTACCTCAAAAATCCCAATGGAAAGCCAAAAGTAACAGATGAAAGGATGTTCAGCATGCTGACGAAAAGTTCAAAACGATGAGTTCGTGGATTAGGCAAGTGACCCTGATTGGCTCTGTTGCCGAACCGAGTCAACGTACTATGAGGGTTACAATCATTATTCATAAGCTCCAAAGTTGTCCTCCCAAGATCCCTCATGAAAACACGTCCATAGAAGCATGGTTCTTCGATTTACCATCCCTAATAAACATTTGGTCACAACGGTGCACCACGGTGAAAGGAGAATTTTGGCCTCCACGAGGAAGAATACCTTCAATGGGTGATGCAATTGGTCCAAAATGGGTGTCCCAGATTGTTAAAATAACGGAAAGATGTGGAGCGTGGTAGCGTTCTTTTTCAACTCAGTGTTCTCTGATCATTGGCCTGTTCATATTGGTATCGACTATGAGTCAAATCTTGCCGCGTCTCCAACCGGGAGATTAGGCGGACATCATCCTGGGAGGAGAAGCCCACCACAATACACCTCTGCCGTGAGGTGTCAAAAGTTGACCACCTATCTGACCGCGTCACTCGGAAGTGGGTACGGAAAACAGCGCTCACTTTAACAAACAATGAGTTGGTATGCACAACAGACAGCCTAGCCACCGCCACTTTTGCTGCTGGACACATTTTTTCGATTGAAGTCCAGTTATACTGAAACGACACTCTGATAATTCTCACACTCAAATATAACGCTTCTTGAAGACAGGAAAGACAACAGACATCTGCCACTTCTCTGCACTTTATTCGTCTTTCAAAAGCCCAGCACAATTCCTATCAGGCTATGTACGAACTCTTGTCCCTGATCCTAAGGCGGGTGCTTTGCTTCGCATTGAAAGCTTGATTTGAGTTCCCACCTCACCTTCTGTTGGGACAGTAGATATATCGATGCGTTGATCGTTAAGCTGGATAACTCATGCCGCCTAAACTGACCCTCGAAATGCTCCGCCGACTGAAGCAGGCGGAGGCACACAGAACTGATAGTTGAAAAGCTGTTTTTTTGTAATGACTTTACCGGTTGGTGGTTTTACAGCCCCATGTTAGGGATAGGTAGAAAAAGTGCAAAACTGATTCCGATCGCTACCACTTTTTTCATTTCTTGGCTTCCCTAGGCCTTCTAGTGGGTTTTGAGGTTGTGGGTCAGGTATCATTTCCGAAATCTCATCAGACTGCCATCCTGGCTCGATCATGGAGATGGGTCGTTGTGCTATCCAACAAGATCTGGGCTGTGGCAGACACACAGTCAATCCCTGAAATCATGACATGTCGAATTTCGCACCAGTCTTCATTTGACGGACCGCTGTGTTTCGCGTTTGGAAGTTGTTTAGACAGGTGTTTCTGATACATTTCTTCAACGAACGAAACTTACAGGCAGATATTACAACCACGGTGAAAGATCTTATCTGCTGGAAACCGAGTCGCCACACCAGCATGAAGCAGGGCGAGACCAGACTCCGTACATGTATTCTAATGGGGGTGACAAGATCGCCATTGTGATCAAATCAAATGCCACAATGGCTATACGTTGGAGGGCACAAGGTAAGTCAATCCTCCCGTTTGTGTTTGCGACAAGTAGATGGTCATCAGCACACAGCTGTGGATTCCCCGTTGGTCAATCTTGTTGATCTTAAAGCTGCTTTTGACTGACTCTGTCAATCTTCAAACATTTTGGCAAGGTTTGGGGGTCACATGTGTTCTCTCTAAATTCATATCCCTTAGGAGGGTGCTGAATACAAGCTCTTGTTGGCGCGTACGGGTATACAGCAAGCTTTCACCACGTTAAGTGATGTAGAACAAGGCTGTCCTCCCTCACTATTCCCCTTCGACTCCGCTATTGACTTGGTGGTTGAAATTTACCTGCATGCCTCCAAAACCCCGGTGGTCGAAATAATCCCGGGACATTCGATCACAGACCCTGAGTATCCGGACGATATTGCCCTCCTTGGTTCAGATCATCCAAACTCCCAAGCCATCCTAAATAACCTAGATGATTCTGCCAAATTGTTTGGCATGCGCTTGGTATCTGCAAAATGTAAACTGCTGCCACACTTGGCCTCTACGCGGAGGTGCATGCAAGTTTTGCGTGTCTATCGGTGTGACCAAAGCATTAGCCGGGTGGAGTGAGAACATCGAATAAGCAACGGTAAACTGATGTTTTAGGAACAAGGATCTCTCTCACGACGGATGAGCTACACAGCCTCCATAGATCACACTGACTACGACATGTACTTCAAGTGCAAGAAGACCATCTGTCTTACGGAGCTCTGTTCGCCAAGCCCCAGTGCTGAGAGAAGCTACCAGGACAGCCTACAATCTGCCAATGAACCATAGAGTAAACCGGTAAACTTAGCCGGGTTGACAGCCTACCTGAATGGGAACCCCGGACTCATCTCATCAATGGCTAGTGACAAGTTCAATCACATCTGGTGGTGCTCCCGCATCAAAACTACCGTCTCGAACGCTTCGCTGTATCTCGAACTCTCCAGTTTTCCGGTGGCCGAAACTTTAATAGCTGACACAACGTATCATTGGCGCACGATTTATCGGTGTTAAACTGAACCGAACACACTTGTAAGATGTCATCATCATCATCATCTTATTCTTCATCATCATCATAATCACATAATAATCTATCGACAGCATGACATCAGTGTTCAACGCTGATGCTTCACTGCATGCATATCGATTCCTCCCAATTGGACCTACAAATCGACATCCCAAATAGTGATATTCGTGCATTGGGCATCAGTATGAATGGCGAAAGTTCCGTGTTGACAGTGTCACCGCTAGTTTGTTAGTGAGTCTGCGGAGATAACGAACAGGCTTTGGGTTTGTATTCCTGGTTGCCTATTCTGATATATCCGGCCGCCCTGATCCCACAATCTGTCGTTCACAAGGATCTAGTAGAGCAGAGCGTCATCAGCCCTCGTACGAAACAAAATATACACACAACTGAGACACGCGGTTACTACTTCTGAATTACCCGACATCCGGAGAGCAAACCCTGAATATACTGAGCTGCTTGAAGCGTGCTCTGGTGCATCATCGGAATAGAATTTTGTATGCGTATTTCGGAGACAGCATACATCGATTTTTAAGAGGAAAGGTTGTGAGCAAGGGAGGTCTGTTGAATACCTGACCAAGAGTGAGGAAATTCAAGGCTGATATGTTCCACAGATTCCCAGGCGTTATTAGTGCATGATCACGTTATATTTTTCCGGGCAGACGACTAGGAATCAACGCCGAATCTATAGAACTATAAAGAGACGAGATTGTATTGGCATGGGTAGGGGTTGGACCGTGCTATCGCTTAACGCTCTCGAAGAGCATTCAGCATTGCTTGTCCTTTCTTCGGTTGTTGGTCATTACATGTGTTTCCGTACCAAACATCCCCAAGTACGTTGGGATTCATTTTGTCTGACTAGAACGACTTCGAATCGGACGCCTCTCTATTTTTAGCTAATATTCTCCTGTAACCATCCCACATGCACCGCTTGCATTTGCTTTTTATATTCGTCACCACGCTCTTCACAAATGAACGATAATAGTAGAGATACCAGCCGGTGCATCATCATCATCATCATTGTCAGCTGTAATAACCGCGTACTCGTCGTACAGTGGTTGTAGCTGCCGCAGTTTCCTTTACCGACGATTTGGAGAGGAGTAGGTAGCTGTGCATTGCAGGCGAGAGATGATAAATTGGTGCGTAAATCCGGTGCACCTATACTGTCAAGGTAGATGTTGCTCCCAGGCTACCCAGACTGAAAAAGAGGGTATGTTTGAGGTACCCACCTTGAGTCTTTGACTCAAAAGTCTGACCAGTAAGGTAGTGGAAGATGGGGTTCTGTTGCGGAGCCCTTGGGCTCTTAAATCTAACCCACGAGGTAACAGAGGTTTAGGTTTTCTTTGAGGGAATCCTGCCGGCACCAATGACTCAATGGTCCAACCCAGTTAGGTGTGGAGGACTTGCCTAGCCCGAAAGCGGAAAGTGTAAGGTATGACTTTCTGTTCACAACATGTCCCATCTTAAAAACACCAAATTCTTTGGGTTTTTTGAGTATTTTGACCGTATTGAATAAAACGCCGGCTGTCACGGTCAACCGTTGGGCGATCGTAGTGTGCGGCTTTTAGGGCTAGCCTTTTCCAGCCCCTTCTTCCTCGAGGGATGGCACTATGGCTACTTCGAAAAAAATGGACGAGCTGGTCAGCTGGAGGAAACCATTCACTGCCTTCACACATCCGTCCAGGTAGGACTTTACCCCAAGGCCGCCTCGTAACATAGTACCGGACCCGTCAAAGACCACCACCACCACCACCACATCGTGGCAGCTATTCGTCGGCCTTGAAACATGTTGGTAGTTATTGTATTTTTCATGGGGATTGAATAAAGTCGAGGAATCTGTGGGAGGGTGAAGGCTGCCTTTCGGTGGACGATAAATTCTCAAGACCCGTCGGATGCTATGCTCGAGTAAGGCGTCTCTCACAGGGGTTCCTCTCGAGGTTAAAAAGTGCGCTGATGCATTTAAATGACGAATTTTGAGAGGTTGCGCACGCAGCGCTCGTAAATAACCCTCCATAACCAAGACACAAATAAGGTAACCTGTCAGTCAGGCGGTATATCCCTCCATTCGAAACTCGATAAATAAAGAAATAAATTAATAATCGCTCAGCTGTGACACCCTTTTGGTGCCTAGCTACCATGTCACCCAAGGGAAGCATGGAAGCTGGAATACTGCCAGGTTGCTCAAGCCTAGACAGGGGAAGTCGGAAGGCAGAGGTCGGGTTCGAACCACGGACCTTCGAAACTCGATAGCTAAGGTGGGTCACACCATGTTAGGCGTGCCAGCATGTGGAAGTTCAGATGCCGGCTTTTGATCTAGATACTGGGTCAGAACAAATCCTTGGTTTTACACCAAGCCTGTTTAAATGTGTTTTACCAGAAATGCTTTACACAAACTAGTGGGTTTAGGATGAATTCAAACTCACATTCTCCCCTCCTGTACAATCATTCCAACGTTTTCGTGGACAGAATTCCTGAACTACAGCTATTTTCAGCATCAGCCTCGAACTACATACGCTACCCTCGTCTGAATACACTCCTGGGAAGCATAGCCACTTTCTGGAAGTCCAAAACGGGGTTCCTGACCAGTCACAGATTTTTCGAAGGGTCAGATAACAACTTCTCTAGAGCCAGTCGTTGTCGAGGGAGGCACATTTCCGGAGCATGAGCGCTGACGCAAAGATAAACGCGCTGAATTTGAGTGAGCGTAACGTGCTTAAGAGATCTCACTC